GGGGGCCCCTAGGGCTCTTCCTCTAGCGACGAATTCCGGCTCGTTCACTTACGTTTGGAGCATCTCAGCCAGTGGTCGCGTGAAGTAATCCGTACCAGTGAACTAACGTAAGAGCAGCCGATATCCGATTTATCTTGTACATTATATTGAAGGACGGAAGTATTGAACGACGAATATTACATCGAGGACTCGCCTTCTTTTCTGGATTTCATATCTTATATAGTGGGTGAGCTCTTTTCGTTACCTATATTGCGGAGATTTTGTGAATTTAATTGAAGTAATCCGGTCTAGGCGCTTTGTCTCGACGGCGAATTTTCTCGCTTACTGGGACTGAATGTCTTTCCAGTCCCTCTAAGTAAAAGGACGATAGTGCCGGATACCGTTATCTTATTCAGCTTTTCTTTTATTATCGTAGAGCATCTTTTATATCGAATGTATGTTAATTAATTGCGTTTTGCTGTAATTTAGTGCTTTGGAATTGTCGAATATATTCTAAGTTACCGATTATCTTCTCGACCACGTGGAAACCCCTAGGGCCCCGGCGTCTCCGCCTTAGCCGTTTCCCCGTGAGTCTGTCTGAGTGTTTGAATTGAATATCTTTTTGGCTTTTCTATCTTTTCCGGCGGTATATGTCGCTTTATTATATTGATGTTTGACTTTAAGTAATTCTTTTCTCCGCCTTATATTGTTCACGTATGTTTCGCTTTCGTTATTAGGAATGGCATCCTCCTCTTTATTTAATTAATATTTCAATTTTTGGAAATTCGTAATTACCGTCTTAGTGTAACATTTTCGATACCTTACGCTGTTGGTCGAGCGTAAAGTCACCTTTTTTTGTTGTGCGTACTCGCCTGATGCGAGAATAAAGGACGCACTGACTATCAGTGGCGTACCTAGTCTTAATTTATTTTTGCCTATTAAACTATTCTTGTGATAATTTTCGAGAGCTTGCCATTTCTTTTGACTATTGTATTGTATTGTATTACGTGTACCATCTATGTTAATTTATTTGCGTGTATTTCATATCTGTGTGTTAATCGCCATACTTATATCGCCCATTGTCTGACTCTTTCCAATTGTCGGGAAATTTTGCGAGTGAACTTGTTTCGTGTTTGCGTACCGATATGAATTTAAGCCGTTGTTCTCGCGTGTATTTCATAGTTTCCTAATTATCGAAATATCGTTTAGTGTACCTTTGGCGTTGGCGTGGAACCGTCCCGCTGTCGTGTCGTATCGCCACAGGGCCGTAGTCCCTCGCTAATTCCGCGTTTCGTTTTAAGAATTTTAGTTTATATAGAATCCATCAAGAGCCTTTCGCTTTGTACTATTATTTTAAGGATTTTGTTATCTGATTTCGCTTTCGCACCTTAGTGTATCTGACTAAAAATTTACTTTAGCTTTTCCGCTTTCAACCCGCTGTAGTTGTCTGTATGGCTGGCATGCCGCTTTCTTGCTTTTTCTAATATAGCTTCGGTGCGTATAACCTACTTATTTTTCTCTGATATCTTTCTTTTACCTCTTCTCTTTATCAAATGTTTATTCCTTCTCCAGTCTAGCCTCTTGAACACCAGGACGCTCTCCTAGGTGAGCTAGCCTCTGAACCGGGTATACTTTTTGAGTTCCCGTTGACCGCTTGATTCTCTCTCTCTCTCTCTCTCTCTCTCTCTCTCTCTCTCTCTGTCTCTCTCTCTCTCTCTCTCTCTCTCGCTCTTCTCTTATCTCATTTCTTTCTCTTATCTTGGCGGTGTCGCCGTTTATCGATTTTTCTCTTTTCTTCTTGGCGGAGTCGCCGGTCTTATCGTTCTACTTCTCTTCCCTTGGCGGTGTCGCCTTCCCTGTTTATTTTCCCTTTCGTTATTCCGAGCTTTCCCGCGTCTTCCTAAGGATTTCTAAGATCTAGAGTGCCCTGCACTCGCGGTGTTCTCCCGGAGACCACCTGGCGCCCAACACCATTGAGTTTATCGCGTATCGGGACTTTTGAATATCGAAATTTATTGAGAGAGAATCATACGGCGTTTTGTGTACGGTTCCCTACTTTTCGGATACCTGTTATCGTCTATCTCATTTAGTATTGAGATTTTGGTTTTTGGGGAATAACGTCCGCAGTAGTTACCCACGTTCGAGGGTTTATTTAAAGTTTTATTTGCTCACTCTATTATTTACAAAGCTTCATATAGATATTAAGGGAATTAACATCGGCAAAATTTACTACCTCATTACTACGGTTTATGTAATATCCTGTAAAAAAAAAGGTGGATACAAGTCTCCCTATTTCAGTGTTCACCCGGTTAAAAATCGTGGATCTCGAGGAACACACGAATTCATTCGACCAATCAAAAACGTAAAACTAGTTCGAAGGTCTCGTTCAGGTGGCGCGTCGACGCGCTAAAACACAGCTCAAGATTATCACGCGTAGTATTACTATATATATACACGACCAATCAAAAACGTGGACTGCTTCGAAGGTCCTCCGCTAAGGTGGCGCGCCGAAACCAGAGAAAAATTGAGACCACCAAAAACAGGCTCACTGGCAATCTCCCTACTCATCTCTGTCTGTACTAGAAGCCAATCAGAATTATTGGCTTAGTTTCCACCGTTCAGAGTTTAAACAGAGTCAAGCAGCCCTATTGGTCAATTCCATTCAACCCCTATACGTGATTGGTTAACTTTGTTTAAACTCAGCACGGTGGAAACTAACGCTATGTTTAGACGACGGTCTTAAACCGATTAGTTAATACTGACCAAATACCACCAAACGACCACCAATCGATTGGTAAAAAGAAAAATGTCAAAAGTCGAAGTGGGAGCGGGGCTATGTTAATGTTAAAAATTTGCTATGAATTTTAAAAGTAAACCAAAAACCACCAAATGTTCTGAATGGAGTACCAAATACCACCAAATGACCACCAATCGATTGGTAAAAAGAAAAATGTCGAAAGTCAAAGTGGGGGGGCTAACTTTGCGGAGCTCCCATTGGCAATCTCCCTACTTATCTCTGTATGTACCTAACATGTTAGAATTGCCGCTTGAAAATGTCGACCTGCGTTGACGCAAAACTTGTAATTGAAAACCACCCTATAGTATCTTCTTACTATCACGGTTTCTGAGAAATCTATGGTAAAGAAAGAAAATGTCATGGAGTTCAAATTGAAGAAAGAAAAAGATTTTAAATCAGACATGCCTAATTCCAAGGTATGTACCTTAACGAAAATAAGTGCATTCGGAAGTTTGATAGCATGTTCGTTTTATATAATAATTATCAATGTCTTTTTCATAAACACAGTAGCTGTCAATTGGAATTATGTATAGTACAGTATTTTTTTACAAAAGTTACAAAACAGTTCATATATCTTATATTTTTGGCCTTTTCTCATCTTTTTTGAAGATCTTCTCTCACTTAATACGATATACATAATACAATTCTTGACTTGGCCCTCTATGAGGGCATAAAGGCATGAGGAACAAAAAGAAGATAATACAAACAAGTGACGACCACTTATATTACCACCACTACCATCAGCACCGTTTCCTCTACACTCCTGTAGTGTTGAAGTACTCCTGCACCACGCGTATTGATTTTGCATCGCTCCACCCTCGGACCACCAAGTTCTGACAATTCATTGTTACAGACGAAATTCATTTGATATGTGGTTTATTAGCAAAAAGGGATATTCGAATACGTTTTATTAAAAACTTGGTTATGCATCCGTGGCCCTTTTTGGAAATTATATACGTGCAATATTAGAATATTTTTAAACTTCGTATTTATATTGGTGTTTTGTGTTATTATTTAAACAAGACCTTTCTATGTAAATACTCTTTATTACACTTTGTCGAGATTATAATTGATACTGACGTTACGATTTAATGTTGGAAAGCAAAACAATATAATGAATTAATATAAATGGTTTTTGTATTGTGCTGTATAATGTAGCTTTGTAAATTATATAACATTCTGTTGTTAAAAGCTAATTGTTTACAGATAGTAAAGGACTGCAAAATCTTTGAAGTTCCTAGATGTGAAGAATACAGTGCAATACCTACATGTTCACAAGCACAACGACTTTCATCTGTATATCATGGGACTTGGCCTGTGGAACGAAGTCTTCATATTAATCAGCAAATACTTTCAAGTCATCAAAATACATCTAATAGACTGCTTAATGTAAGTAAATTCAATATTTAAGACTATAGTGTCTATGGAACAAAAAAAGGACTAAACTGCAGAATATGACTTCTTCTTGAAGTTAGCTGTGGATTGTTTAAATTTTGTTACATGTAATTTTTCAAGGAGTTGTATTCTGCAGTTTTACCCAAAAAACATTGTAGATTGTTTTGTACAAGACTTTATTTTATGACTTATGTAAGTCTATTAACGTAAATCTCCAGATTGTTTCATTTATTCTTGTTTAAGTTAGAAATTATAAAAATAAAGTATTATATTTTATGATCTAGGATTTGTGTAAACAAAAGAAAATTTATAATATCATAGCATACACCTAAAATGTCATGATAAATTAGAAATGTTGAATATAAGAAATCTTAAGATTCTTTCCTTATATAGTACAAGAAATTGAAAGAAATATTGCAATTAGTACTTGAGGATGATTAATAATAATATGAATATATAATGTATTTTAAATACTCAAACAATTCTCATTTTATAAGGATTAATTAAGAATCTATTTAATATTTGTTATTTAATTTTGTTATTCAAACTGCAGAATACAACTCCTTCTTGAAGTTAGCTATTAATGTTAAGTTTTTTTACATGAAGCTTTTTAAGAAAGAGTCGTATTGTGCAGTCTTATCGAGAAAGGATTGTTGATTTGTTAATTTTTTAAAATATGATGTAATAACATGATGTCATTACATGATGTCATTTTGTTAATATAAAAGTGTCATTAATAACCTTAAGATTTTTCTGCAGGACATAACCAGTGTTATGAGTTTTTCTTCAAGTTTTGGTATGGGGACTGGTAGTTCCCTGGAAACGCAAGGTCAGCGAAGGCTTGGTGTAAAAGTTGATGTTGTCTATAGCTTGCTTGGAATGTTAGGTAGCACAGAAGGCCGTGAAGATATGAGTGCAACTTTGCTTTCAATGACTAGTTCAGTGGATAGCTGCTTGGCAATGAGACAATCTGGATGTTTGCCTTTACTTGTTCAGTTAATTCATGCACCTGATCAAGATCCTGACACACGTAGCCGAGCTTCTCAAGCCCTTCATAATGTTATACATGCAAGAAGTGATGAAAGAGCTGCTCGTCGAGAAGTTCGAGTGCTTAGACTACTAGAACAACTAAGAGACTATTGTCAGATGTTGAGAAAGTCACTAAAAACGGGGCAGATATTCAATGATGAGGAAAAACATCCCGGACCATCTGCTGTACCAACAGCGTTAATTGCAGCCTTAATGAAGCTCTCTTTTGATGAGGCGCATCGACATGCTATGTGCCAGCTTGGTGGTTTGCATGCAATGGCTGAATTAATTGAAATGGATCATGCAGCGCACGGTAATGAATGCGACGATCCAAATTGCGTAACACTCAGAAGATACGCAGGGATGGCTTTAACCAATCTTACTTTTGGCGATGGCAACAACAAAGCTCTACTCTGCTCGTTTAGAGCATTTATGAAATCTTTAGTCACGCAACTTAGAAGTAACAGCGATGATCTTCGACAAGTAACGGCTAGTGTATTGCGAAATTTGTCTTGGCGAGCTGACAGTTGCAGCAAGAAAACATTAAGAGAAGTCGGATCTGTAACAGGATTGACAAAGGCTGCAATGGAGGGACGTAAAGAATCTACTCTTAAATCTATTTTGTCTGCACTCTGGAATCTTTCAGCTCACTGCAGTACTAATAAAGCAGACATATGTGCTGTTGAAGGAGCACTAGCTTTTCTTGTAGACATGTTAAGTTATAAGGCCCCATCTAAAACATTAACTATAGTCGAAAATGCAGGAGGCATATTAAGAAATGTGTCCAGTCATGTAGCAATACGAGAAGATTACCGGGAAATTCTAAGAGAGAGAGGCTGTCTTCATGTACTTTTGCGTCAACTAAGATCTCCGAGCTTAACCGTTGTCAGTAATGCTTGTGGAGCGCTTTGGAACCTCTCCGCACGATGTTCTCAGGATCAGAGATTACTGTGGGATTTGGGAGCTGTTCCAATGTTACGTAGTCTTGTACACTCCAAACATAAAATGATCTCCATGGGTTCAAGTGCCGCATTAAAAAATTTGATTGGCGCTAGACCGAGTGGTAGCAATCTTGTTCACTTGGATTCCACTGCAAGAGGACTTGGATTTTCCACTCTACCAAGTTTAGTTGCTCGCAGGCAACGAGCCTTGGAACAAGAGCTCGATCAAAATTTAGCTGAAACATGTGATAACATAGAGCCTAGTACATCCCCTATAAATAAAGGTGATAAATTCTCTTTTAAAGTGGATCGAGATTTTGTCGATATAACTGGCTCTTGGCAACCATCTTATGGACAGACTAGTTCCACAAGTATAATATACAATGGCGTTGATCGCAGTGAAAGTAGAGAATCTATACATTCGGCGCCAAGTGCACATTCAGACACTGTATTTCAAAGAGTTAATGGACAATCTTCTGTTGATGGAATTTCATCGGTGAATGCACAGATAAAACAACAATGTACTTCATTACCCTCTCCGATAGGATTTGATGTTGGACAATCAACAGCCAGCTTTGCCGAATTGATCTCTACGGAGAACAAATATTCTCTCCGTTATAAATGTAAAATTCCAGATCATGTAAGATCATCAAATATTGGATCGCAAGATATTGGAGATCAAAAATTTATAACGTCTACAATGTCGTGGTCGACCTCTGCACCAGATCAAGCATCGGAGTGTTCTCATACTCTTTTACAATCTTCCATTGGAGACACATTTGTGAATCAGGAAAGTAAAAAAGGAGGAGGAGGTACAAAAGTATATGAATTGAGACCCGATGTTTCCAGCAATAGTAAAATGAAGGATTATTTGAAATCGTGTTATGACATTTCCGATAATGAGCCCGTTGCTAGTACTTTGGCATCTACTACAACTTCCATAAATAAGAATCTCAGAGGTGCAAAATTGGCAGTTTCTGATATAAAGTCCAATGACAAATTATTGCAAGGAGAATATGTTGCATTAGTGGACAATAGAGAGAAGATAGGTTTTACTGAACAGCATGCTGCTGAATACTTATTTGACGCTAACTCTGAAGCCAGTGTCATTCCACCAATCGAATATGACTTGTTGAATATAAAACAAAGTGTAATGGAAAAAGCAAAACAATCTCAATTACAATTACAGGATGAAGTACTATTTGCTCATGAGATCAACTCTAAAATACATTGTAAGGAGGGAAAGACATGTGATGCTTTGTCAAATTATATGGAAGTTATATGCGATGCAGATTTACAATCTAAGCAGGAAGCTGAAATTAAATTCCATGCGACGGAAAAGCAGTTTGCTGACATACAGGAAGGCGCACATACGATAGAGAAATCTGGCAGCAGTTTAATGAATAGTAAAATTGTTCATACTCCAATATATTTCAACGACATAGAAAATGCTTGGCAGGAATTACCGAACTCTGGTGATATTCATTATACAAAATCTTTGGGTAGAAATGCTTTTAAAATTCAAAATCAAAATGGTTAGATAATTTGTTTACTTATATAAATATAAGCGTCTCATAAGTGTTAATATAAACATATATATATACTTGTGAGTTTACAAATTGCAGAAGAAATGATGGAAAATGGACGAGCAATCCATAAGAACGAACTTTCAACTGAATACTCTATTAAAAATTACGTTGGAAAAGCCATTGCGACAGATGGACATTTTTCGGGCAATCACTTCTCTGCTTCAAAAAAATTTCAGTGCGTATAATAAAAAATATTGCTTTTATAGTAAGTAAATAACTTAAGAATGAATTTATTCTAAATATAACTAATAATGTGCAGGGAACCCGATAGCAGCAACACGCAAACTATTGAGCTATTAAGCCCCCTAACTCAAAAGACTTTGATTGAACGACAGATGAATGAATCTCAAAATAATGTTAATGTTATTTCAGGTAAGCCTAGTAATAACTTATTTATGTTGATACCAATGTCAATATAGAATGTAAGGCCAAAAAATGGATGAATTTTATGGCCACGTATGGTACTAAGGTGTTAAAAAATGATACAGCTACTCTATATGAGAAGGGACTCAGGAACTAAATTATCGGTTATATTTCCAGTTTTAAATCTAATTGTAAGTCAATCGTATTTCAAATGCAAGCACTGTTATACCTCTTGAAATGTATTGTGACGTGATTTTTCGAATCACGGTCCCAAGGCGGCTCCGATTACCGATACAGATAACGTTCTCGATTTCTGGTTCTCTTCGGGTCGCCACCCTGCTCAGAAGCTACGCTCTCGGGTTGATTCGTACAGTTCTCGCGTTGTTCTCGCGATATCCAGGAATTCTATGAATTCCTGTGAGTGTTACGGAGGTGTGGTGCTGTGCCTTAGTGCAGTGCTCACCAGTGTCCTTTGGATACAATTCTCGGCCTCCACGGATTAGCTGCACCAGCTCCGGTGAGGATTCCCAATTTATTAATCGGTGAAGGGATCTCGATAGACAATTAAGATTCGTTCTGATACGTTCTCGGTTCGTCGCTCTCTGTCTCTCGCACTATTTGCCGGAGTCTTACTCCGACCCTCTCTACCTCAAACCTAGCAGCCTGAGTGGCCGTGCATTTCCGTAACCGTCCGCTCCCGTTCGTGTATCCAGTTGCGTTTGCTGATTTTACGCGACCCCAAAGATCAGCACCTACGGTTGCGTTTCTCGATTTTACGCGTCCCCAAAAATCGACAGGATCCGTTAAGCTATCGCCTCTTCTGATAGGTTCCGTCAGAGCTCTCATTCTTGGTGGAGTTGGGCCTGTTCCACCCCAACTCCCAGTTTATACCGGCTCGTCAGTTCCCGGTGAAAAAAGAATTGGCTGGCGCCCGCCTGGCTTGCGGATGCACGAACGACGGGTGGACGGCCGAAGGTAACGTAGGTTGGTTCTCGAAGATAGTCGTTCCCGTATGTCTTGCTATCGGTGTCGGGTCAAGTTAAAGAAATACGTTACAGTATAAACAAAATATTTGATATAATTATTCGACTTCTCATGATAAAACTGGTCCCTGTGACATTAAATATACCGATATAGTGCTCCTTCACTGATATTTAGGAATTCGAGGTACGCGTTCCTGAGAATTCAATATTAGTGAGGTCCCACTATGGTCATGGAAGGCAGAATTTAGAAGGAAACAAAATGATGTGTCTCTTGCATGGCAGCAGACCTGCCCAACGTAACCAAAAACGAGGGCACATGGACTAACGACTAAGCTATTGTGGGAGACCCTATTCCCCTCTGAGGGCGGAGAGGTTACATATTAACGAGAGAAATATTAGTAACGGAGCATTGTGACGAGTAGAAGTTTCTCATTCTTACAAGCAACGTTCAATGCTTTCTTTCACGTTTCTCAGATACTTCTCAATTAACAATAATCTCTGTTGAATAAACATGTAGTCGTGCAAAATTGCGTTCAATAATAACAATTATTATAATGTTATTATTATCTTAACATCAGTAATGATATATTGTATAAATCATGTATCAAATAATAATAGTATGAGGATTCTTGTTGTTTTATAACTTGATTTTATAAAAAGTATTACGTATGTCTATGCGTAAATTATATTTAAATGTTAAGTTTAGTACAAAAATTTATTCTAGAAACTGGAATGACAGATCTGATTTGCCAGACAAGCCAAATGTGTTTGGCATCTCCGACGATGAAAGACAAACCAAAAATTGTCACCAAACATAAAGAGCCGGAATTAAAATTATCTGATAATCACACCGAACGTAATGTATCAAAGGAAGCAAGTATTACCGCTACCGCAAGCTATAATGTTAGTGGTGGAAATACTGATAAGAAAGATTTACTTACTACTTGTTTAAGCACTGATGTGCAAAATAACAGGTTAGTGTTAATTTCAATGTCTCTTTACTGACCGCCTTTTCCTTACATTTTGTTAAAAACAACCCCGTACTATCATTTCGACGAATGATAATATTTAATTGGTTATTAAATTACGAATTGAATAAAATTTGATCTAAATGGAATGATTGAAAGTTGTGAAATATTGGCTAGTTCAATGATAATATATGATGGACAAATTTTGAGCAGTTAGGTATTGACAACTAAAGTTGATCTTCTCAAAGACGGCCCCAATTGACGGCTGAAACATCGTAATTAACCCTAGTTGTCATTATATCTGACTGCAAAAATTGGTTAACACCTGTCTACCATATATTTTAAATGCAATGTACAAACATGATGCAAAGTGGTATTGGCATACTTTTTTTAATGTCTATCTTATTACTCATCTCTTTGTCATGTCTTATATCTTATCAGATTATGCTGATATAACTTAAATTTGTTTGCAGGGGTAAACAGCTGTTTAGAAAGAGCAGTATTAAAAAAATGCAAAGAACAAGTAACCTAGCTCGCTATGAAACAAGATCTTCCCTTGATCGTGTGGAGAATGCTGATTCAATAGCAATAAATCGTGAACCTGTAAACCATACGAAATCAAAAGATGATATGGAAATAAGGGCGACATCTTTTTCAATGAATAGTTATTGCCAAGACTTTAATAACGTAGAATATGAAACCATGAAATTTAACACTGAATTATCGAACATTGCCAAAAATGATGAAGACTCTGCCGACTGTTATAAATCAAAGATTACGCTGGTATTTATTTATTATTGTATATCTCCTTTATACGTCTTTTACTAAATAGGGTATTAACATTTTTTTTAGGTTCAACCTAATATACAATTCAATAATAGTTCTTTGCCATTTGCAAAAACTGCAATGATCTTGACGCACATTGCACAAGAGCCTGAATGCAAAGATGCAACCTTTGGCGGCCCCTCATTGAGCAGTAGCAACGAATACGGAGTAATGAAACTCCTATTTACTTGTAAGGCTAGTGAAGAAAATTTTCTTGGAGATACAGCATTTGAAACTGCTATCGTGAATGCTACATGTGTACAAGAAAATCATAATCAGGTGAATCCTCCTAGTTTTAAACCAAATAATTCTATACGAAGTAATCTCGGTCCTTGTACATCTTCATACTTTATCAAAGAGGACTACGATAATACATTACCTTCCAGTTGTAAAATGATCGACATTAAAACACATAAGAATAATGGATTAGAAATTGATACAATAAACACCTCATCTAAAAAGTGGATCATAGCACCAACTGATCAAGATACTGCAAATCTGTCAAACAGTCGAGTGAACGATTTAGTGGAACGATCTGAACAAACCCTTTTAAAATTATGTATTCGGGCCACCGATGGCATAGTTCTATCAAATACGGAAGATAAAATCGGGGATTCCGATGCGGATTACACTCTAATCGTTCCGGCAATTAAGGAGTCACCATCGGTTACGGGAAAAGTTATGATTGATCAAGATAAAATTTTACTTAAAGAAATGAATAGTTGGGGCATAAATAAAACTTCAAGTGATGAGCAGGAAAGTGTAATTAGCGGATCTAAGTATTACTCAATTCATGGTAGTCGTCCAATAGATAATATTGCAATATCCCATGGTGGCATTTCGAAGGAAACATTGGAAAAGGAATATAAGCGACAGCGAGACCCAGATGCTATGATTGCTTCGCTGGATCGACTTACAGCAGCTTTAGTTCAAGAAACTGAAGCAATGCGAGAACGAGATTCTATTGTAATGAAACAAAGTGTTGTCAGTGACACATGGAATGAGGATTCTCCGAACGATATTTCTTATCCTAGTATTAGCGTTAGCCCTCCATTGGTTGCTTCCTTCAAAAGTGAAACTCAAGATGAACAATTCAATTCAGCTATGTGGAAATATGTCAGAAATAATATTGGTGAACAATCAAATATGTCAGATTCAAAGATAATCCAAACAGAAGCTATAAAACTCGCAAAAGCAGCCACCGATCAGGCGAAAAAGCAAGTAGAACTTAATTCTGTTAGCATGACTTCTGTTGATCTTGACACTATAAAACCTCCTTCTTCGATGGGCAGTTTATTGTCCCTTACTAGTAGTTGTACTGGAATAATTGACAATACAGAAGCTGCTGTTGGGCGAGATTTATGTCAGTCGACGTCTCTGCCGCCTATACGGATGAAGACAAGCATAACTGAGTGTCCAAATGCTCGAAAAAAGTCTCTTCCGACTGGACTCGTTGCTAAAAGGGCATTGAGTCATGGACAACATTACACAGGCAGTTTAGAAAATATTTTGAATGAATACAGCATTAATAGTAATACACAACTAGAGAATGTCAAACCACCATCTATGATGGATGAGCTATTCGATGTTGGTGATATGGAAAATAGTATGGTGAGTGTCGCGAGTATTACATCTGAAGTTGCAGACATGAAAGAACAAGATTTATTAAGTTTATCAAATAGCGATACAGTGTTTGATCTTTTGAAACCAGTCGCTAATGTCTTATCGATGACTTGCATGCGTTATGCCGAATCTATGCAGTTGAGTACAAGTAACAGCCTTAGCGACTGCTTGGAAAATATAAACCCACCGTCATTGTTTAATGAAGTAAGCGAAATGGATGAATCTATAATAGATGGGGTCACCCATACATTGTTTAGCGATACACTCTGCATAGATACAGAATTGCAAACAGATGAGATGTTCCAACCGATTTCTGTAACAAAAGTCGACGGGATTGACAATGATACAGATAATGCCGCAACTTCTACACCCACTGAATACTGTATTAGCAGTTCGCCGGAGTCTATGCAGAAAAAACGCTTCACTAAAAGTCATTTAACTCCAAAACAGAAACGGCAATTGGCGAAGGAGCGTTACAAGACTTATACTATCGCGGCAGAGATGGTTAAAAAAGAAGGAGAACGAAAAAAGCAGGAATTTGTGGATAATAAAGTAACGATGAAGTTTACCGGTAAATGTTCTCCCTTTTCAAAACTTACGCCTAGGCAGCGTAGACAAGAGGACAAAGCCAGATTCCAGACCCAAGTACTTTGCAATTCATTAATTGCTGCAATGCAGAATACATGCATTGATGTAGAGCAACGAGATGAGCAAAAATATGTAAAACAAGGAGATGAGCAGAAATATGTAGAGAGCCTACATTTGCCTGAAACAATCAAAAGTTCTGCATTTTCCTCAAAATCAATTATACCTATATTTAAGAAATCCGAAGATAAAACGAAGAGACAAAGACATGTCACTTCTACAGGAAATAAAGAGCAGCATCATACTAAAACTTTGAGTGAAATTGATTACATTTTAAGTGGACTGTCGAGCGGGTCTACTACTAACATAGCAACAACGAATAATAAAATTTGCGAAGAAGAAATTTTAAACATTTCTTCGGATGAAATGGAAATTATGTTGAAGCGTAATGCCAATATAGTGTTGAGTACTTTGCGTGAATCGGACATTTGTAAGGAAGCTATTGGTCACGAACCTTTACTTGATTGTGAAACTTTGAGCTTGGTGTCAAATGATTCTGAGTCAGAACGTAGTTTAAGAATGCAAGTTGTTGATACAATTCATAAAAAGCTTATAAATTCTTCTATATCTCAGGCTAGTACCCCTGGAAGTTTTGGTTTCGAAATGAATAAGAATCGAATGCACGCAATCAAAAGAGAAATTCAAAGTCCAGCATTAAAGCAAGACGATGACGGCCGAGATTGCTCTCTATCGGAAGAAAATGATGAATTCAACCGTGTAGAAGAACAGCCAAGGATAGTAAAAGGACCCCGTATATTAAAGCCGGATATGAGAAGCAGAGATAATAGTCTAGATTCCAGCACTACTGAAAAATCGGACGCCGAAAGCTGTAAAGCCATTAGAGGAAAACGAAAGACACTATATTCTACTCAAACAATTCGTAAATCTACCCCGCAGCCCTCCCCATTTAAAACAATAAGTTCCACTCCCAGTGGAATACCAATCGGACGCAGTAATACCTCATCAACCGTTAGATCAACCAGAGCTATTATACTGAGACAGAATAATAAACCTCCTAATTGTACATCGAGAGGATTTCACAGATCGAAAACGAATTTAAAAACTTCACTAGTATCTGAAAATATGCAAAAACAAAAAAGAAGCATTGATCTTACAGCAAATAAAAACTCAATATTGCCAACTGGGAGAAATGCTCTCATTCATGCCAAATCCATTAAGCATTTTAATTCACCTCAAACTTCTGGCATAAATTTACATAAAGAAACTCCAAAGCAATCACATATAAAACCACTAGAAAGGCAAGGAACATTTACCAAAGATGAACCCGAAGTAAAAAATGCACCAACTGTACTTCCACCTATGTCGCCAAGTTATAGCAAAATAGCAAAACCCATCAAAAATTCATCTTCTGCAACATGTGTTACAGGCGGAAAGTCAAAAATATCTATTAGGACGGTTGAAGGAATTCATCAGTCTAACATTTCGAAGGTAGCCAACGTGGATAAGAAACAATCCTCAAAAGGTATTCTATCATCTACAATGCCAAAACGACAACCTGCGAGATCTTCTATTGGAGGAATGGCTATTCCACAAAATAATCGTGTTATTCAAACAAGCAACAGAAAAAGTTCTATAAGAAATGTTTCATTACTCGGTCAAAGATCTAATAGCAATTCAAGCATTTTATCAAATTCTTCACATTTATATCAAGGGCGACAATTGATAAGGGATGCATCGAGCAACATCGGTAGTTTATCGAAAAAAGTTGAACAAAATAAGAATAAACAGTGCTCGGAAAAGCCGGACATAAAACAATGGATTCCATCTGCTGAAACCAGTACTGAAGTGGACGTGTCCATTATGCCGAATAAGCCACAAAACTTTAGAATAATTCGTAGTTCGACGTTTGAAGGAATTCCTCAAGATACCATAGGTAGCTCCTTATCGCAAAAACCAAACTCTAATCTCCACTTTAAAAATGCCGACGTGCAAGCAAATAAAATGAAGTATCGTAATTCTTGCGATTTAAGTGGTATGAGAATAGCAGATGCTCCGTGCAAAATACAGGTAAAATATGCAGAGTCCAAACCTAACAAGAAAGACCATGATCTAAACGAAGATGATGTCATAGAGGGCAGGAAACAGCAAAATACACAAAAACGCAATGAACCTGATTCAGGTGTTACAAAACGTTTGTCCCGCCTAGGCTCGTTTATCAGTGTAGAATCTTCAGAATCAGGCCTGCTACAAACGTATGCTGGTGCACATAATAGTATTAGCGTATGTGCGCCAACTTCGGCTGTTGTTCTACCGTTTAATTTTAATCTAAAGCAAGACATCTCATTTAAGCCAGAAAAAATAAATCTTGACAACAGTGACGGCAAAATGGAAAAATCTGAGTACGCAATAGAGATAAATACTGAATCTATGAAAGTCACCGCTGTATAATGTGAAGTTCAGATACGAATGCAGTCTCATTTGTCATGGGTTTTATTTTATCATTCGCATACATTTGTTAACAGATCTTAAATTGATCTTGTATTGTTTTATTTTTTATTCTCTTGTTCTTAACGGCAGAATTTACTGGTTTTTTTTAATAACAGGTGCACTTAGCTTCATTACAATAACTATCAGAAGTGATAATTTACATGTTGTATCCTTATGAAAACTATTTAGACGGAACTCAATTAGATGTCTCATGGTTATGATTAGAAAAAATGGCACAATTTCTATCGATCCTAATTATTCTCATATATAATATCGAACTCAGAGAAATGTTCTTTTTCCTTAGATTCTAAATTTGTTTAATACTGCTTGTCATGATAAATCCTAAGATATCTTGAAAATATATGGCATAAGAAATCATTTAGCATGTAAGAAATACTATATTTTAAATAGGTGCATTATTGAATATCCAATTTTTAATGAAATATTTCAATTATGCATCAAGGCAAAGACTAATAGACGAACCAATGGGAGATCAATTCGTTAAAAATAATATTATCATACTCGAAAAAATTTTTTTCTCAAGTATTTCTTATAGACAACATTTACTATGTATTTAGACAGAAGTTCAGTTGCTTTAATCGTACAGAACGAAAGGGATAAAGGTAGGTTTAAACGCTAAGACAAAAATATTAATTAAGGTTAAATTAAATGTATTAATTACAAAAACCATTTCGATTTACACAAAAATTCAAACATGTAAAAAAAAACATTTAACGTAAAAATTATTCAACAAAATTTTCTTTGGTACTTGGTTTTTTTTCGTGAAAATGAATAATTTCATGTCATTGGTTTGGATATTCCACTGCATATTTCATGAGTTTTGGTAAAGAATTTAAGAATCCAGTCTATTGATTGGAGATACGGAGCATGGAAATCATGAAATGCTTGAATTTAATAAAAATTTTATTGAAGTGCACTAGAAACATTTTGCCATTAGCTTCACAATTCATTGCAGTGGATCTTCAAAAGTAATAATGAACAAATTAATGGCTGATTCGTATGGTTCCGATTTAGCATATTCCGCTTGGATCCGAAACAACTCATTCCTTCATATCTCTATTAGAGTAGACTCTCATGATTAAGTGAACGTTCTCGGAAGCATAGGGAAAGACGATTCCAAGAAAAAAAGAGTGCCCACATTTCAACATTTCTTTATCAGACTTCATAATCTTTATTTGTTTCCAAACATTTACGTTTGTGTAAACATTTTATGCCAAATTCGGATAACAGCATTTTCATGCTCCACGACTAGTTAGACCTTTGTTAGTCAGTCGACAGAGCTTCTAGAAAGTTATGTATAATAAGTTGAATAAAAATTTTAGTCTTAGATAAAAATTTTCAAAAACTTCCGTCACATTATATATAGTACAAATAACACGCATGCCTGTATTCTTTCCATAGAATTGATTTTATTCCTAATAGCCAAATAATCCCCACAACACAGAAATATTTTATCATCATCGCGAAAAATTTCTCTTGAAATAATGCAATATTGGGGAAATATAGTGAAACTTGTTGAAAATATTTCTTGAATGTTGCGGAAACCTAGCAATGTCCGCTCAGAACGTTGCAAGCATAATATTGCTATAATATTGTCGGTCACTATTCTGGAAATCTCAATGGACAATATTAATAAAATATAACCCAGACAGTATCTGCATATTGTATTGATCGTAAAATATTTAGCAAAGATTCATGTGACCTTTTTCTCTTCACATTGGCAACGACTTAATATTAAAATTTTTGCAATACTTCAAAACGTTTCCTGTCATAGTTTTGTCCAAATATTTTAATATGTTTCACGAATCATTTTTTTCTATTAGCAGCGTTTTATTTAAAAAATGTTACCATAACGGTTTAAAATATTTGAAAAAAAATGATATGGACGCACACAGCACACTATATTTCGAAAACATTACAACAATATTCCAATATTTCAATGCGACAGCAATGTTGTTGATGTCTTTATGTCAAATATTGCACAATATTTCAGGGCAATATAATAAATAAAACTTTCTGATATATTGCTGAAATCTGTGACAAGAGTCCCTAACCAGACTCGGAGTATCCGAGCGAACACTAGTTCGCTGCCGCGCCGCTAGGTGGCCAAGGCAACTCGCATGAAAAAACGTAGGACCGGGTAAATAATTAATCCGTCGATTATTCGGTTTTCGTCTTCGCCGTCGATATATACTTTTGTATTCTGCATGTAAAAATTACATGTGAAATTATTGCATTTGTATATAGAATATTTAAAAATACAACCGAGGTAATATTTAAGGAGGTATAGGCAACCTGCCCAAAGAAACCCACGATACATTGCTGGCATTGGAATTTATTCTCAGTTATATTATTTCTCAGCTATCTATCTGAGTTATGTTTTATTAATATTATGCATTGATATTTCCAAAATATTGACCGGCAATATTATAGCAATATTATGATTGCAACGTGCTGAGCGGACATTGCAAGGTTCCTGCAACATTCCAGAAATATTTAAACAATTTTCAATATATTTCCGGTAATATTGCATTATTTCAAGGGAAACTTTTGGCAATGTTGACAAAATATTTCTGTGCTGTGTGGGAGGTCTACACATGCTCATTAAAGGTACAGGCAACCTGCCCAAAGAAACCCACGATACATTGCTGGCATTGGAATTTATTCTCAGTTATATTATTTCTCAGTTATCTATCTGAGTTATATTTTATTAATATTATGCATTGATATTTCCAAAATATTGACCGGCAATATTATAGCAATATTATGATTGCAACGTGCTGAGCGGACATTGCAAGGTTCCTGCAACATTCCAGAAATATTTAAACAATTTTCAATATATTTCCGGTAATATTGCATTATTTCAAGGGAAACTTTTGGCAATGTTGACAAAATATTTCTGTGCTGTGTGGGGAGTCATTTGAAATGTTACAAAAATATTAAAAAGCAATTGTTTTTAATATGAAAAAAATTTTCGAATGAATATTTGCTAAATATTCTAAAATAATAAAAAATAATCATTTTATAGGTACTGTTCTAAAATATTTCTGCAACCTATAAAAACGGTCTATGATTTCAACAATATATCAGAAAGCTATTTTTATTATATTGCCCTGAAATATTGTACAATATTTGACATAAAGGCATCAACAATATTGCTATCGCAATGAAATTTTCGAAATATTGTTGTAATGTTTTCGAAATATTGTATGCTATGTGGGATATTCAGGGAAAAGAACGCGCTATCAAGAGATTGGCCTTCATATGAATCTTTAATTTAGAGTTCATATCAAGACAGTAAAAAAATATAATTTTGTTAAACTTTACCCATTTTTAAGTGATTTCTACATTTCTGAGCTATAATTCTTCGGAAAACAAACTCTACGTTGTTGAAAACTTTTGCATAATTCTCATTTGTAATATTTACAGTTTATGTAATTTTATGCATAAATATTAAGTAATAATTCATATATATAGTCGGGTCGAGCCGAGTTCAACGTCTTTTTTTGATAGTTCGTAAACAATGTAATCGTTAGCAAACCACATGTGGTAGTCCATACAATGACGTAAATAACAAAATATATTTAGTGCAAAACCATGCACATACATACTTAGTAACATACCATTTTATAAAGTAACACGTGTACCTTAATAGAGATTATTGATTTTGACCTGTCAAAAAATCACATCCAACTCGTGGATCAACTATAATATATTGGTGGTAATAATTGACATATGAATGATTTAGTTATGATTTAGTTCGAAAATGTACATAATTTGTTAAATATGCCAAGGTAATGAATCATCAAATTGGTAGTAAACACATAATTATATTAAGTTATTTATTTTTTCTTGTATATAAAAAAATATATATGTATGCGAAAGAAATTGTATTCATTGGATCTGTTTAAATATTGTAGCACACTCAGCATATAATAGTATGCAATGTCATGTATATTGGTTATTCATTATTCGCAAATAGAAAATACAAATATTTTACCCTTTTTTTCGATTCGATAACATTAAACCAGATCAAAAAGGATAAAAATGTAATTACTTTGTAAGACTGATAGAAAAATAGTGAAAGTTGACAAAATACTTCTCATCGTTATTGCAAATGTGTCAATCGAATGGTAGCCAAATTTCTAATATTGAAGCTGTTTAAATTACGTAAAATACGATAAATGTTAATAGCAACACCCAAAATAATTGTTTTAAGTTTCTAGTCTACTGGTTAGATCAATTATTTATAATTTAAACAAGTATTCACATTGCATAATTACATTTACATGTAAGGAATATACATATATATACATATATGTATATACATATATATATATACATATATATATATATATATACATATATGTATAGATAATAAATTATCTCAGGTTTTAAAACCTGAGATTTATTAACTTTTTGCTAACCAAATCTCTTTTTTTATTGTCGGACAATAATCATCTCGATTCGTTTCTCTTTTAACTTCTTATAATTTCTTAATTCTTGAACATATATGTATAGATAATAAATTATCTCAGTCTAGTCTACTGGTTAGATCAATTATTTATAATTTAAACAAGTATTCACATTGCATAATTACATTTACATGTAAGGAATATACATATATATACATATATGTATATACATATATATATATACATATATATATATATATATACATATATGTATAGATAATAAATTATCTCAGGTTTTAAAACCTGAGATTTATTAACTTTTTGCTAACCAAATCTCTTTTTTTATTGTCGGACAATAATCATCTCGATTCGTTTCTCTTTTAACTTCTTATAATTTCTTAATTCTTGAATTTCCTAATATTTTCAACATAATGCGTTATTGTCTGCAATTCCCTTGTCTTACTTTTGCCACATTCACGATCACGTATTGTAGCATAAGGTAATTTTATCACAATTTGTGACTGATGGATTTCATATTACCATTTGGTCCCATTCCAGTTCGGGTAAATTAAATTTAACTCTTCCATCTAGGAGTTGCGTGGACATCGTTTCTTTGTGTTAAAAGTGCAATTTGGTCTATACACCATATAATTACTTTGTACTAACCACTTTTACTATATTTAAGTAATAAACGTAATGTTGTATTAGTTGTTTCTGATTTTCCCAATATTTCGATGGTTTGTATGTTTAATAAAATGTAATAGAATAAAATTTATAGGTAATACCGATGTATTTGATCATTGTATGTACCACAGATAAGGAGTCTGATAAACATAAATAATGCCACAGTGTAATATTTTATTTTGTAACATATCAAATGTGTTTTTCTTATGTTGGACATTCGTATAAATTAATGGATTTATCTTCCGATACAGATACTAACATATTTTTCTTTTCTGGATGATATTTCACCATCCATACCTAGAAAATCAATAAGATGTCAATCATACACACGAAAAATTTGAGTAATATTTTTACGAACCTGGTCTGTATGGTCGTTAAATGTGTGGAGGCATTGTCGTTGAGCTAATTCCCAAATTTTTACGGTATGATCTGAACTACTTGATGCAAATGTTTGCCCATCTGGTGAAAGCGCAACGCCAAGTACCCAGGAAGCGTGACCCGACATCGTTCCGGCTACATTAGCATCTTTCCTGGACAGGTAAATAAATATACTCTTCATTTGATCTTACGGCATGGAATAATCTAAAGAGATTGTTAGGAAGCTTATTTTTAGGAAATTTTCAACTCTTTTGGTACACTGGAATCAAAGTGGAAAATAAAACCAATTATTGAAGCACCGATGATAATTATTCCGATGATAATATATTAATTATAATATATATTAATGACTGAAGCACCTCAACACTACAGAATAACTTTGCACGGAAAACTACACGCGAATAACTATAACCGTCGGGAAATTAGCGCTAAAACAATAATGAGATACAATAACAAATATGTGTCTATATTACTACTGATCTTCATCGTGTTTTTGTTATAAGAATATCGTCGACGAGCGAGCGAGTTTGACACAATAATCTATTGCCGTGATGGGTTTGTATAAGGATAAGTAAGGTTAGGATAGCTTAGAACTCCAATTATTATCTGCAGTTATCGTAAGCAAATATTGTTTAATTTAATCAAATCTTCTGAAAGAAAAGCTGAGATAACTCATCCAAACGTATAAGAACATAAAGACCTTTGCAACCACGCAAATTAAAGCTCGAGAGTTGAGATCTATAGTATAAGATTTATTTATTGGGTTGGCATAAAAGTAATGAGACACTCTAGAAAACTCGACATATGTCCTTTTTTAAATTAATTGTTTTTGACTATATTCTAGTATGTGTAGAACATTCTAAATATTTACGCTCTGTGGGTATATACAATAGAATATGGTCAAAAACAATTAATTTAAAAAAGGACATGTATAGAGTTTTCTAGAGTGTCTCATTACTTTCATGCTAGACCAATATTTAAAAAGTATCGTGACACATTGCTACTTTGAAAATAATTTATGAAGCCTGGCGTCTTTCTTATTATAATCCGATAGCTTGAAACTCTATACATAGGCATAATTGGAATCTTCGAACCCGAATCTGAAGTGGCAATTTCAAAATTCAAATTGGCTGAGTCTATAGTGAGGCCCAAAGTTCGACCATTTTTTAACTATCATAAAATCTAATAACCCATTGAAGGTTATATTTTTCCTCGTATACAACATATTTGAAATTCAGTACGTAGGGGATTTCGGAGTCGCTGAATACGAATCCGAACTCAACATTCAGAAATTCAAAATGGTGAATTCAATATGACGGACCTAAATTCAAAAAGTAGTTGTAATTTGTATCGCGTAACCCTGAGTACCAAGATTCATGTACAGTCTCTCCCAATAATAGTGACAACGGTAGACGCCGTACGGTGAGGGAAGAACGGAGATTGGGTGGCACTTGCTCGCGTATCTTGGCCTGTACGTGCGACGCAGAAAGCGCTACGGTGCGAGCGAGAGGCCAGAGCGTCACTCGGTGCGTCCTTGTTGCACAGCACTAGTGTAAGCGAGACGCCAGCAAGGCTCCTCATGCGCAATAGGGAGCTTGATGGGGGACCGCTCGTGTTCGGTGGCACTTTTTCCCCCTCTCTCTCAGACTAACGCTCTATGACGAGGACAACTAGTACCCCGATAAGAAACGAGAAGGAGCAATGGGACTTTCGGTAGTGGGAATGAGATAGACTTTTCGATTATCCATCCTCGTCAAACAGCGTTAGTAAGACAAAGAGAGATATATGGGACGTGGTGGCTAGGAACAAGTGTCTCAGCGTCTAACGCATTGGAGCGTCCTACCGTGCGTCCTTTTCGCACAGCAAAAGTATAAGTGAGACGGCAATAGGTCGCTGAGTCGCACCTATTCACAATGCGATCTCATCAAAGGGTAGCCCACCCTGTTATAAATTCACGATGAGCCCGCGTTGCTCGACACAAATATTCGGTGCCATTTCGATGTTAACTTACCAATGTCTCTGCTAAGACTGACAATGAGACTATTTTTCAAAATACTGTATGTAACATAAAAGTGTGCATAGAACAATTATAAGGTAACTGCGGATTATAATAAGATAGCCTAATATTTGGAGTGAGAGGGTCTTATGGGCGACTTGCGCTAGACGCAAGTGAGACGCTCTTATACGCAGTGCAGGCTATTTCTGGGACTCCACTAACTGCGAGTGAGAGGGGCTTATGCGAACTCATGTTGAAATTCTGTGAAACACTCTTATCCCCCCCCCCCCCAAAAAA